AATGTACATTGTATAACGGGTGACTTGAGGAGACAAACTGTCACTTCATTTTTGCAACTTCAGTACCTAGAATGGTATCTACCTCAAAGGCATATTACCATGTTAATGTGAATTTGAATCTGAAATTAGCCCCAAATCCAAAAATTTCAAAGTAAAGCCTCTGTGACAAAACTAATCCCTCTTCTCACCAGAAAATGTGACAATATTATCGGTAATAACAACACTTTTCATTTCTTGAGAACTTCATATGTGCCTGGCCCTGTCTTGGAAATTTACATATATTATCCTTAATCCTCAAAATAACTTTATATTTCTTTAAATACTGTATCTTATCATATCTGATAAGATCAGATCCACTGATTACAGGAAACACCATAATTATATATGACCAAAAAAAGGGAAGAAATGCTGAAAACTAAATTATGATACAGGATTTAAGAGGTAAGAAAGGATTCTTAAGTTTTAGGGTTTTTTTGGTTTGTTTTCATTCTTAGAATTTTTATTTTATTCTTACCAAAAAAGCTCTTTTAAACTCATTCTGACATTAAAGTAACAACAACATGAACAAAATAGTTTACAAAGTCCTCAGGAGCGAAGGCACAGACATCTACATAAAAAATGACACAATTAACACCAATTACAAAATGCCATTTAATTTAAGATACTTTAAAATGTGAGGGGGAAAAAAAGGCACTTTAGAATCTTTGAAATATGAAATTTTCTTGAGAGGTTAAATAATCTGCTCTGTGGGTTACACGGCTAATAATCGAGATCTTGGGATCTGAACCCAAAGTGGACTCTAAAGCCTTTTTAAATCATGTTATGCTATCTCCTGCTCTACTTGAAATTTCCTTCCTTTATCTAATTATCAATCAGGGCACTAAACCGTTATTAAAAATCAAAAGCAAGCAAACAGAAAAATAAGAACAATTACTTGATATACGTATATAAAGTTATTTTTATTTATAGGAGAAAAAAGGTATATAAACTTAACAGGGCATCTCTTCTGAAGTAGCTTCTAATCTGGCAGAGATAGCACACACACAAGACCATTCATAGGATCAATATGTGAGTGTTACAATAGAGAGAAAGTGCAGGGAACATAGAGAAAGTGAGTTTATAAATGCTCGAGACACCTACTGACTGCATAAGGCTTCCTGAAGAGGGGACATTTAAGGTAGACCCTGAAGGTTAGATAGGATTTCAACTAGAGGACAGGATGTAAGGATAAGGTATTCTGGGGAGAAGGAATAACACCAGGAAAGGTAGGGGTGAGGGGAAGTGTCATCCATATTAAAAATGGTGAGCAACTTTAAAATCTGGCTGAAGTAGTTTTGATAAGTAGCACAGAATGAATGAGAGCCACAGCTGGGAGGTACTGCGCTAATCCACAGAGCAGTGGCAGGAGGAAAATGACAACGATTACCTTGGAACAGGTATGAAGGGACAAATGACATCAAAGAAACAGAAGCTACAGAAGCCAAAGATCAAACTTCCAAGCCCTAAGACAAGTCAGGAAGGAGGCCAGATTCCAGAATTAGGAGATGAAGTGCAATCTCAGATACTCTGGGCTGGAAGGGCTTCCACAGAGCCAGAAGGACTGTTGACTGTTTCAAGTCGTTTCCATTAAAGCAATGAAGGAGACGGCAAAGGAGAGAGGAGAAAAGAAGGAAATGGACATCTCCCATGAAGGAAGAAGCAGCAGCAAAGGGGGAACAGGAAGGAAGAGTGTTAGAAGGAGCTGGTGAGTCAGAGCGTGGCGATGTCACAGAGCCATGCCTTAGAGCTCGCATGGGGCATATTTTCAGAGACTTTATCAAATGAACCAGAAGAAGTCTGACGGAGGAGACAGTCAGGTTGGGTAGGGCAAATCAACCAACACAGTTGGAAAAGAGATAGAGCTAAGTTTATTTTGTAGGATATATGAAACATAATTTTAAAAAGACAAAACTTAAAAAAATACTCACCAAACATCCATACGTCACTAGCTGAGGTAAAACGTCGAAAATTGATTGACTCTGGAGCCATCCATTTAATAGGCAATTTTCCTTTGGAAGCTAGAAGATCAATTTTAGAAAATAACTTTTCCCTGTTATCTGCTTAAGAATCTAAAAGTTAGAGCCAGCCGAGATTTTCAGTACCAAAATAAAAAGCTTTCTCTGTTTGACCCCTTGAAACTTCTGTTTCTTTGGAAGAACTACTTTATCATCTCCTTGAAGTTCTGAGGTCGTCTGGAGGTGATAAGTGGTGAGACAGGAGTAGGGAAATAAAGTACTGATGTCCTACCTTCCATAGAGAAGCAGGGAGCAGGGAGGTAGAGTAAATGTAAGGTTTCATAACAGATCCTTATCTATTGGATGGAATCCTTGCTCTACAATTTCCTGCTAATAATATATAGTCCATTCTCACTGGTGGTAGTTATGCTCTATAAAATCATTGCAAACACGGAACCCCTGCTCCTAGGGGAAATATGTACACATAAATACATACTCACATAGATTATAATTTTAAATCCTAAAACAACTCATTCTGGTAGGTTCTATTTTCTTTAGAAAGAGGCTCAATTATGTTAAGTTACTTGCCTGAAGCTGCCCCATTAACAAGTGCCAGAGTTGGGATCCAAACTCCCTCCAGCTGCCCCCAAGCCGGAACTGCTGCCTCTGCCCTGTGCTGCCCCCCTCCCCACTCCATCCTCCCACTGAAACAGGAGGGAAAGTGTTGATTTGATGGACCTTGGTTGGGGACATGCATATGGGGGAGTCCAAATTTTCACTGCTCTGTGCATGTTCTTAAATTACTGCAGAAGCACTTTGAGTAGTGATTTTAGCACTAGGTGAATGCACAAATATGGAGCCCACAGTAATTAGGAAGAGCAGGAAGGAGCAATGGAAAGAAAAAGGCCACTTCTTTAGGAAAGCCTCAAATCAGCCCTTGGTAGAGGCCTAAAAACTTTCCTTTGTGCCACAAAGGCAAACAATTCACAACCTTACTAAAACATTGCTCCAGCTATCAAGTCCCAAAATGAACAATCCAGAGTACCCTACCTCAATGAATTCTCATTCTCAAAGGCAGAAACAGAAGTATTCTTAAACATGGTATAAGGTGTAACAGAGATACTGAATACCTGCCCAGTGCCCCAGAAGCAGAGAGGAAACGGCAACTGAGTGGACAGTCAGGGAAGACTTCAGGGAGAGGACATGAGAGTGGAAGGAGCTGGCTAGGAGGACAGGGCACAGAACGACCAACTGGGCTTAGAGGGGCCTGAGCAGGGCACAGGGTTGTACCAGCCTGCCAGGGGTCTGGACTTTCTCCTGTAAGCAATGAGCCACCTTTGAAGACTACTACAATTCTTAGACAGAGGAGCATTTTGAAGAATCCCTAACCCTTGGGGGTTACATTTCCATATCCTAATGGGATTTATACTTATTAACCTTTCTGAGATAAGATTTATGTTAATTTATCAAGTGCCCATTTTGAATGTTTAAGTGATATGGAATTTTGGTCATCATACTAATTGGAATTTAGTTCTTTATTAGAATTCTAGGACTTGGACTAGTTAAGATTGGAGCTGGATATGAAATGTATTTCAAAATTGTGAAAAGCTCATTTGGTCTTTTTTAAATAAAATGACTAAGTAACCAAAACAAATAGACAACCGAACAATTTTCTTTTCATATATCAAAGGATAACTGTTAAACTAGTGACAGGCTACAGTATACAGAAAGCATATGGAAAAAGAACAATTGTGAGATAAAATATAAAATAAAAGAGACTAGATTTGAATGTAAAAATCTAGGCTCATTTTGCTGTAATCTAAAAATCAAACACTGAGAAACTGGCCATTGTAAAACAGTGGTAACTATTAGTATATATACTAATAGCATAATTTAGATTTAATAATCTAAACCATAGCTGAAGTTCCAGAAATATGAAAACATTATTAATAAAAATATTTGTTCAATAATAGTTTGAAGAACCAATTCCATGTGATTCCAAGACCGGCAAAATTAAATTCTCATGAGCTAGATTTCAGTTCAAAAACTAATGGATCAATGTTGTTGGACTTAGCAGACTAGACATTTTTAAGTCAGATTCCTTTTATTGAGGCAATCAATGCACCCACCCCATCAGCTGTGAGGTGACTATGTCTACTGGGTGAAGGGCATATGGTGCAAGATTTAATAAAAAACAAACAAAAATGGGAATGGTTGCTTTCAACATTTTCCAGGTTTTGAAAGGTTTGCAAAGATTATCTGGGGTGAGGTTCTAAGCTGCTTTAGTGGAACATATAGAAAATGCTGTTCTCCCACACCAAAAGGCAATACAATCAGGCCATGCACCATGCCCCTGTGTCTCCTCCTCCAACAGCTAGGTTAGCTTAGTTGGTGAGAGCAACGCTTATAACACCAAGGTCAAGGGTTTGGGTCCGTGTAACAGCCAGCCGCCAAAAAAACAAACAAACAAACAAAAAAAAAACATACCTTTTAAAGAAATACAAATACATTAAAGATTCTGAGCTTATTTTTTAGTGATTACTCTGATTTCTTACCTTTGTAGTAAGTACTATCTTCCATATATCGGGATAATCCAAAGTCTCCTAATTTTACACAATCATTTGAGGATACCAGAACATTCCGAGCAGCAATATCCCTGATAAGGAAGAATTTGGGACAATAAATTTTAACATAAGAAAAACCCAACCCACAAACTCATCTATTATATAAAGGCACACTGATAGGTACTTTGAAAGGCAGCTTATATACAATGCAAATAGATTATTATGTTTTATATAAATATATATAAATACATATATATAGTTTTACTTGATATATATTCCTTTTGGCAGATATTTACTCATTGATATCATGATGATTATTTTGAACGATGGCAAAGTATACTGTCAAATAATAAAAATCTTTACCATCTTCATAAAATCATATTACCAACTGCATTAACTGACAGACAGTGATATACAACTGGGGTCCGTAACCTAGCCATTATCAGAGAGATCTCCTTAAATAAAAGTTATCTTCTCAACACTTGTAAGTGATCTTGCTGATACAGTCTGTTTTAATACTCAATAACAAAATAGAAATTCTAACATAACACTTGGGAAACAAATTGTAAGGGGTTTCACTTGCATTCAAAACCACAGAAACTTGGACTATAAACAGAAGTTCCCCAGACTGCCAACAGATGTCACCTGTAAAACTGTGGAATCCTGGAAAGTTCCAGGACAATATCTGCTTTAGGGACTACTTGCACATGTTCACTGCTCTAGTGCCAGCCTCTCAATCGTATTCATGGAAGGAATAAATGACTTGAAAATATCATAACATGTTTCAAACTCCATGTGTGGAAAATTCTTTAACTATGTGTATTAACACAACTCAGCACTTCACTCTGATAGAACACAATGCAGCATAACTTTCTAATACCCATGTTCGATGGACTGCAATGGTATGGAAGGGTCTGTAGGGCACAGTAACTTTTCCTTCCCTGTTTCTACCCGTGCTCAGCACTTCCCCTGCTCAGAAGGTGACTTAGCAGCTTTATGACTGTACCTTACCTGTGTACAAATCTTTTGCTCTCTAGATATGCAAGAGCTGTACTAAGCTGATAGGCATACAGGATCAAAGATGCTAGATCCAAACTGTATTTCCTTACTTGCAAAAATGACCTCAGCTTTTGGAACAATGGTCAAGAGAAAAAAGAAAAATAATTAGTGACAGAGAATAGAAATCAATAGCAAAAAAATTACATTCAGCAACAATGCTGACCATTTCCAAACCCATTTTTAATAATATGAGAATGGCTTCAATTTTCTAATAAAAAAGCATAACAAATAAAACATTTTAACTCAGATAACATACATAGTTAATCATTCTTTACTTGAAATCCTATTGTAAAATTAGAATATTTTTGACTATAGACAAATTTCTAGAAAAATACAGAAAAAGATATGCTTCAAGGGAATGAATTTAAGCACAGTATGAAGTATTGCTAAATAATATTAGTCAAAGAACAAAAAGATCTAGTTAGTATTCAAACAAGTCTAACACACAACCAGTCGGTTCACCTCCACTTCAAGCCTCATGAGTCTCTGGGAAGGTATGAAGATAATGTAATGAGGAGGAAGGAGAGGCAAGAGGAGCATGTGACCCCCCCCCGCCCCACAAAGTTTTGGATGCAGAAGGGTAAAACAGCAGTCACACATGGGTATTTATCCCACTGGGTTTACTAGTTTCTACTACCACTGACACCATTAATTTAGCTAAATGCTAACATGGCAAAGAAAGGCAGATGAATTTAATACCTTAATTCTACAAAATCAATAACCAAAAGAAACATTTAGTAACAGTTTTTCAAGCCAGAAGATAAAAGCAGAAGCAGAAAAATACTGTTAGCAAAAAATATACATAAACACTCCATATGATTTCAAAATGTAGGGCAGAGGAAGAAGGTGTAGTGTTTAGCAGATGCAAACACAGAATGCGGCCCCACTTGCCCTGCCTGGAGAGTTTGATTCAGCAGGCCTGGGGTGGGGTGCAAGAATGCATTTCTAACAGGTTTCCAGGTGATGGTGATACCCTGATTAAACAGTTTCTGTATTCTGGAGAAATTCACAGAGAGCTGTTCGCACTCTGTTACTCACATTTTAAAAAAGAAACTGTGACTGATATTAGTTGGTCTAAAAGACGCTGCAAGGGGAATTCTCAAAAAGATTAAGGAACTGTTTAGATTTACCTAAATTCAGCATTAATTTACCCAAACTCCATTAACATTGCTTCTTTCATCCTCAACTCAATTGGGCTAGTTCTTTAGGCAACAGCACCAGAGAGAAAAAAAGAACCACTTGGCTGCCTATTGCTACCATCCTGATAAAACATTTGGTTGGTGAAGGTACTGCTGCCAGTGTTGTCAGGGGATTACTTGGGAATTTAATGATGAAGATATTTATATCCATATTCCCTAAACCAAAACTACAACAACATACATCCTAAGTCAGAACTCTCATGAAAATCCAAGATATAAACTGAATATACTTCCCTTTCTCAGCACAAGTTGTCAAACACTGAGTGTAGACTAAATGATTATGAAGCATGAGACTACCGTGTAGTCACTGTGACCAGACAGAAAGCAAGCTTTGGGGACTGTGGTACCTCTCCGAGTGTGCACAGCTCCATGATTATCCAGACGGGATTCTCTGTGATGACTCCGATCAGCTTCACAATATGAGGATGGTCAAACTGACGCATGGTTACTGGGAAAAAGTTGTCCATGGTTATTTTTTGGAAAACACGTTCAATTTTTCTTAAGACTAGTTCAATTAAGACACAAGGTTGATGATGTGGGAACTTTGAACTCAACTCCACAGGTCAGTTCCCCAAACAAGTGGGCATAAATTGGCACAAAAAGGCACATCTTACTGTTGAGCCAGTAAACTTATTAGCAATTTTCCAGGGGAGAATTTATTGTGAATAAAGGCTTAAGAAAACCCCGTATTTTTTTCTAAAGACAAATTTGACCTTGGACTAACATTCTAGGTTTTCCTCTGGAAATCTGATAAAGTAGGAATGTGTAATTCCTTAACTAGGCGACACTCTTTATGGTAAACATCATTCCTGATCGGTAAATTGCTGGGGGAGGAAGGTGGGACAGGACTATAAATACCCGGTGGGAAGCCATTGTTAGGAGTTTCCTTCAGTGTGCAGACTAGGATAACTGGGCACATTCCCTGCACAGCCCTGGAAGCCATGCCCACAGGGCTATCACAAAGGATTTCTGTCTTGGACATAGTGGTTCCTGCACCTACTCTGTGGCCTTGTCCCCTTGCATGTAACTGGTTGCTCTCAAGACTCTAAAGAAGACTAGTTCCTGGACAGCTGTAAGGACTTTCATATCAGAAAAATGCTCGACACTGCCATGTTGGCATGCTGTTTCGGTCCTGTACTGCTCTCAGGGAGAGTCCAATGTGGCCTATGGCAGTTATATGAGTTTGGCTGTCTGGACTGAGCCCAAGGTGACCAAGAGGGCACTGCACATATACAAACATTCCTATTTGTGAGTACATATATTTAAGTGCATATGCATTAATAATTTCTAATATCAGGGCTAAGATCACTTGCACAGCATACTAGGATTAGTAAGACATAGTACAATCTTCACAGAACTACAGGACCTCAAAACTGAAAGTAAACTGAAAGGTGACCCAGTTTAGAGGCTCCAAAAATATCTGGATTTCATAGACTATTAAAATGGAAAAAACAATTTCTATGACACCAAGTAAGGACATTAGAATAGTAGCAACAATAATTTTCTTTTAATATTACCAACATGTAATGTTGCTAACATGTTATAAAATAACTGGTATCTAAATACCGTCAGGAAAAATTGTGAAAGACTTTGAAATGGCAAAAAAAATATTAGTGGGTGTTCTGTCTAGCTCTCTTATTTATTTTACAACTCCCAAGTTGTAGGAAACTGATAATAATGTACATAATTCTTGTCCATAAAAATGCAACTCTGTGTGTGAGGAAATAAAATTAAATTTTTGCACATATTTTAAAATTCATTTCACAACTCCTTATATTCCATATACATGTGTGGTTCTTGGAATTCTCCCTTGAACCAGCTGTAACATCTTACGGGTTTCCTCATTAATTAATGATTTTATTACTTTTCTATTCCATTTTTTTCTGCCTGTTAGGAAAAAATGTTTAAAATCACATGCAAATAAGAGCCCTCTGAAAATCTGAAGACTGTGTTCAGATTCCTTTGGTATGTCTTCTCTATGCTAAATGACCTCGACTATTTCTCAGAAGATATGTCTTCCAGCTTCTTCACGGCTGCAGTCACCTTCCACTGGATGAGGCCTGCATTATTTATACCCATTTCAAGTGTGAAGCCCACCATGCAATGTAACTCAGAGCTGGGTAAAGCTGGGGTAGACGGGGTCTCTCACAGCTCTTACTCTGGACACCATATATCCTATCAACACACCCAAAGAACACATTAGTTTCTTGCAAAGTCACCACCTTCACTTGAGACAACTCTAACTTCTAACGCTGTGTTTTCCCATTTTTTTCCTCATATTCCAAGAATAGGACATGGTAGTCTTTTTTTTTTTTTTTAAACCCATATAATGTAAACACCCAGTACAAAATCCAAAATGTATCATTAAATTTCAACTTGTCAGATTCAGCTCATCACTTAAGTATACTGTGATAGTTCTGGGTAAACCTTCACGCACCCAGTGTACTTAACTTACTCTTATTTTCAATTTACTACTAGTGATTGTTTAGTATCACGTTTGGTTTTATGCTATCCTCACATGTAATTATCAAGCCTTTTATATTTCCTCTGAAGTAAGTACTAAAAATACTAAACAGCACAGAGCTAAGAGGAGAGGAGAGTCCTGTGGTCACTAGTTCTCAAACTGAACTAAAAATCAATAGTGTGAGCAGTTTAACCTGGTGTGTATGCACATAGGTGAGTAAGCTAAGTCCCAGTGGCTGCCACTTGCTTTTATAAATAAAGTTTTAATGCAACACAGTCTTGCTCATTCCTTTATGTATTATCTGTGGATGTCTTCACATTACAATGACAGAACTGAATAGTTGGGACAGATACTAAATGGCCTGCAGAGCCTAGAATATTCACTACATGGCCCTTTACAGAAAAAGTTTAACAATTGCGAATCTAGGCCATACTTCTCTTATATATAGCCTTTTAAAGCCCCATAGAAGTTTAGATATACTACATCTATTACATTTCCCTAAAATAATAGCTGAGTAACCCTTTCAAAGAAGAAAACAAGGTTAGTGTGACCTGACCATTATAATACTATATAAGTGATTTTTGTAATGATGATTCCATAGTCCTACAAAAATCACAATACAGTACTGATCAGAATAATATTAGAAAAAGATAAATGATTTTTAAAATTTGCATTTCTGAAAATATATAATACACAAGAATACCACCAAAGGTAAGGATTACAGGTGTTAGGTAATGATGACTGATGTAGTGTGTGTTTTCTTGGCCTAGGCACTCTATGGAAATAAACAAGTTGAGACAGAAGTCATCAGTCAGCCAGTTTTTTTTTTTTGTATTAAAGTCAGAGATTCAGGAATAGGATTATGGATGTACAGTTGTCCCTCAGTATCTGCGTGGGATTGGTTCCAGGACCCATGGATACCAAGATCTGCGGATGCTCAAGTCCCTTAAATAAAAGTATTAAAGTCAGAGATTCAGGAATAGGATTATGGATGTACAGTTGTCCCTCAGTATCTGCGGGGGATTGGTTCCAGGACCCATGGATACCAAGATCTGCGGATGCTCAAGTCCCTTAAATAAAATGGTATATTTGCATATAGCTTACACACACCCTCCCATATACTCTAAATCATCTCTAGATTACTTATAATACTTAACATCATAATGTAAATGCTATGTAAATAGCTGTTACACTGCATTGTTTTTTATTTGTATTATTTTTAACTGTTGTACTGTTATATTACTTATTTTTTCTAATTATTTTCTAACGGCAGTTGGTTGAATCCACAGACGCAGAACCTGCGGATACAGAGGGCTGACTGTACTTAGGTTCAATTGAGAAGTCACAGTGTGATTTACTCTATGACTTAAAAATTTATTGGACTATTAGGAGGTAAATATTTTCTAAATGGAAAGTAGAAGGCATTCATTCAATGTGCTGCAATGAAGGACACCAAGATTCAGTCTTACAACAATCTACTGAGTGCCTTTCATGTGTTAAGTACTGTGGCGGGCACTGGGAAAGGAACAATGCACAAAACAAGCATGGTCCTGTTCCCAGGGAGCTCAAAGCCTAGAGGGGGAGATAAACAATAATCATTTGTAAACAATGTATACTTAATTACAAATCCCCAGGAAGGAAAAGAACAAGGTCCTGTGAGAGGAGAAACACAAAGGAGAAACCTACTTTACATGTGGTGGTCAGAAAAGGGCTCTCTGTGGAGGTGATGTTTAAGTCTGAGCTAACGGGGCTGAGGAATGAGACGGGACAAGCCATAGGGGAGAGGAGGACCACCACAGCTTGAGGGCAGGTAGGAAAGAGTGTGATGTGTTCAAGCGGGACAAGATCCTTGCTCTCCAAGAGTTTCCTTAGGGAGAAACCTATGTATGCATAACTCACCCAAGGCAGCTTCATCATGGAATGCACAAACAAAGAGCCAGAGGGATGCAGGTGAAGAAAATCACTTCTAGTTAGTCACCTGGGAAGCCATCGGAAAAGTTTTCTTCTGAGGTTTCTTTTGGGGTGAGTCTTTCTGATTTTGTAGCAGAACTTACTCCTTCACTAGTCTATGAGCTCCATGAGGGCAGGGGCTGTGTTTGTTTTGTTCACCTCTAGATTCCTAGGCACCAGCAGTATCTGGGCTAGGATCATTTATACATCTGCCCCATTTCCAGTGCAAAGATGTTTAATGGTACAGGTTACCAAAGCATTAAGGGAAAGTAAGTCAATCTACCTTTACACATAAAACACCATGGTTTACCTGGAAAAATCTGTAGATATGTGCCTGTACAAATTTACACATTAATTTGAATGCAAAATAGTAAATGTAGGTGTCTCATAAAAATCAAAGCATCATTTTTCTTACTTCTTCAGAGACAGTTTGAATTTCACAGATATAAAGTCAGATGGAGTTCCACAGAAATTTCTAGAAACTTACAGGCTTCTTGAAGAAATTTCTCTCTCACGCTGTCCGAAGTACAGTTTTTACATGTTTTAATTGCAACCGCCAAAGCTGGATTCTCCTGTGTTAGGGAAATTATAGAATCACACACACATGCAAAAAGGTTCTCCATATTAATCAATGGGTACATTCAAGAAAAGCTGTTTTGCAACTACATGGATTCTGGACCAGACAGAATCAGAACTGTAAAATCTCAAGAATGAGAGGAATACTTAAGATAAAAATATTCTGTATAAAATCCCCAGAGAAAAATGGACATGCATGTGAAATGTTGCAGGCAATTCATTTATCTACAAACATTCTTTAGGTATCTGCTATATGGTAGGTGGTTTTCTAGGTGCTTGATATACACCAGTGACCAGAGGCAGTGGTCCCTGTTCTTGCCAAGTTTACATCCCAGTGATGAACAGATGACAAACACAAGAAGTTAAATACATAGTATGTTAGAAGGTAAAGGTGTTATGGAAAAGCGGGGTAGTAGATCAGGATATGGGAGATGGTGGCTGCTATATGTGGTAGACCTCACTGAGTAGATGAGAGTGAAGAACTAATGGAGGAAGAGGAACTGGCCAACCAGCCGAGTCGGGGATGCTACGGCTGGCTGAGGGACATGAGCAGACTAGTGTGGCTGAAGCAAAGGGTATGTGGAAGGAGGGTGGAGATGATGGGGTCAGACAGGAATTGAAGGGCCAGACCACAGGGCCTTCTGGGCCAATAATAAAGATGCAATTTTACTCTAAGTGCAATGGGGAGCCAGGACAGGGTGTGAGCAGAGGAGTATCACAGCTTGATCTAAAGTTAAGAAGGAATACTGGCTGTGGTGCTGAGAAATGGTGGCAGAGAGGCGAGGTTAGGCACAAGGAGCTCTTCAGGCAGCTACTGCAGGAACCCAGGGGACAGATGATGGCAGCTCGGACAAGGGTGGTAGCAGTGGAGGGACGAGAAGGGTTGAGATGCTGGCATACTTCGAAGGTAGGACAAATGTGGCTCCTAATGGATTGGATGTGAGAGAGAATCAAGTTCAGGTTTTGGGCCAGAGAAACTGGCAAGATGGGAGGGGATGATCAGAAGCTCAGCTCTGGATGTGATGAGGTTGAGACGTCAGTGAGACAGCCCAGAGACACAGGTGGCATGGGCAGTAGGATATGTGACTGGAGCTCAGAGAGAAGTCTGAGCTAGACATAGAAATTTGGAAGTATAGTCGGCTCTCTGTATCTGCAGCTTCCCCATCTGCAAATTTAACCAATCTTGAATCAAAAATATTTAAAATAAATAAATGAATAAATAAATCAACGGCCGAACTATAAAAGATAACACAATTAAAAGCAATGTAGTATAACAACTATTTACGTAGCACTTACACTGTATTAAGTATTATAAGTAATCTAGAGATGATTTAAAGTACACAGGAGGATGTGCACAGGTTATAATGCAAATACTACGCCATTTTATATAAGGGACTTGAGCATTGGTGATTTTGGTATTTCCTCATGGATACCGAAGGATGACTGTAGTCCAGTCTACAGGACTGGATGAAATCACCAAGTGAGACAGAGAGGTCTGTGGACCGTGCTTTGAAACTCTACAATATCAAGAGGTCAGGAAAAAGAGGAGGAAGTGGCAAAGCAAACTAAGAAAAGGTGACCAGCAGGGAAGCAGAGAAACCAAGAAAACATTCTGTCCTGGAAGCCAAAAGGTTTATCTTTTATTTGACGAGTTCAAAAGATAGAGCTTAATAAATACAAGAAATAAGAGGCCATTTCGAGCAAATCAATAAAATATCATGGATTATTCTGGATAGCAGCTGTATGAGGGTACTTCAAAAGCTTCTGGAAAAACAGAATTGAAAGACAACATGAATCTTTCCATGAACTTTTTGAAGTACCTTCAGATGTGCCTATCATATACTGGGCTTTATGTTATCTTTGCCAGAATCACCTTATTTACTGTATATTATTGTAAGGAGTCTCACATTCTGTTATGGAGGTAGACAAGGAGAAAAGGAAGAGCAAAGGGGAAAGAAAAGGGGAGAAGATGGGGAATTTACAAAGGCTTAAGATATACTAAATTATGTCTCTGCTCCATTGTTGTTATTCCTTGACTCCTTTCTAAGAGTCTTTTCCTCCCCCCTTGTGAAACACGGATGAAATCAACCAGGTAGAGACCGCAGCTCTAGGAGGGAAGAAGACAGGAAACCATGGCGTGTGTACATCGTTTCAATCTTTCTCTTACTCCTTCTGCTCCCTGGGAGTGGCTAGGTGGTGTCAGATAGGTATGGAGAGTGCTGAGCCATCTGGTCCCTGATGGGGCTATATGATCTCTGTTTTCAGCTTTCTCAATAGGTTTTGAACATTTCTGTGCTTTATGTAGATTATCTCATTGGGCTTACATCTTATTCTTGAGAATGAGCTACAAGACTGGGCCTAGGATATGCATTTTATAGAAGAGTCAATAGAGGCTGAAAGGCTAAGTGGCTTGTCCAAGGTCATCCTTTTAGGAGGAGGCAAGCTCCTTCTGTTACAGAGGCTGCTTTCAGAGTGAAAGCAATTCATAGTTATGGCTAGTAGCAGGTAGTGGCAGCAGCACGGTAACACTGTATCGATCTAAGCAGAAGCCACTGTCCCCAGCTGGGATGGAAATGCCACTTGTCACAAGGTTTAGCTCTAAAATGGTGCCCCCGGTTAGTTTCTTTGGTGCTGGCAAAGCTTGACTATGCCAAGCTTTCTCTGAAGAGCTCTTGCTACATAACTGTGGGTAGTTGTTCCCATAAATATCAGTCACGGGCAGAAGAGACTGGCATTAGAAGAGACTTGGGAAGACAAGATATTACTTCTTATCTTTTCAATGTTGGAACACCTGGGGTTGAGTCATGGACTCAACTCTATTATAAGTTATTTCATCTAGTGCCGAAGGACTCAAGAACCACTTATATTTCTAAATTTACATCTTTAGTCCTGACTTTTCCTTTCAGCCCAGACACATATATCAAACCCACCTATTTCTTCTCTCCACATTTTTTTTTTTGGTGGCTGGCCAGTATGGGGATCCAAACGCTTGACCTTGGTGTTACAAATACTATGCTCTAACCAAGTGAGGTAACGGGACAGCCCCTTGTCTTGACTTTTATTTTAAACTGTATATGCCCAAAACAGAACTCCTGATATCTCATTATGAGGGTGAATTTTATGTGTCCACTTGACTGTGCCATGAGGTGCCTGGATATTTGGTCTATCATTATTCTGGATTCTTCTGGATGAGTTTAACATTTAAATCAGCAGACTGAGTAAAGCAGATTGCCCTGCCCAATGTAGGTGGGCTCATCCAAGACCTTCCCACGAGTAAAAGGAAACCCCTTCTGCCTGATGCCCTTCAAACTGACACATTGGTTTTTCGTGCCTTTAGATTTGATCTGTACCATCAGCTCTCTTGCCAGCTGCAGATCTTGGGACTTGTCAGCCTCCATAATCACATGAGCCAATTTCTTATAATTGACATCTATATCTGTATCTACATGTGTCCTGTTGGTTCTGTCTCTCTGGAGAACCCTGACTGATATACCCACTATCACATCTGTTTCTCCCATAGTCTTCTCCATCTCACTTAAACAGTAAATGAACAGTTGCTCAAGGGGAACAATCTATTTTTTTTTTTTTTTTTGTCTTTTGTCTTTTTCTGTGTCCGGCAACGGATCGCAACCCTCAGTGTTGCCCCCGTACCGGACCGGGGACCGGCAACGGGATTGCAACCCTCGGTGTCGCTCCCGCGCCTCGCTCAGCCAGTGAGCGGGAACCGGTCTGTATGTGGGATCCGAACCCTCGGGTGGGAGCGCCGCCGCGCTTCCCAAGCGGCGCACTATCCAGTGCGCCACCGGGCCGGCCCGAAAGGAGAGACTTTTAAAATTTAACTTTTTAATTTTGCCATAATTATAGACTCATGTGCAGTTGTAAAAATAATAGAGAGATCTTCACCCAGTATCCCCCAATGGTAACATCTTCTAAAATTCTACTGCACTATCACAACCAGGATATTGAAATTGATACAGTCTACCAAATTCATTCAGATTTTCCAGTTTTACTTGGATTCGGTTCTGTGTGCGTGTATGTGTGTGTTTATTTCTGTGCAATTTTATAATATGTAGGTTCTTGTATCCATCACCATGGTCAAGATGCAGAATAGTTCTATCACCACAAGGATTTCTCATGTTTGAAACCACAGCCAAGAACAATCTATTTTTGATTCTTCTTTTTATTTTTTATTTTTTTCCTGTTTTGTCTTTTTTACTGACCGGTAACGGGATCGCAACCCACAGTGTCGCGCCCGTACTGGGGACCGGCAACGGGATTGCAACCCTCAGTGTTGTGCCCGCACCACGCTCAGCCAGTGAGTGGGAACCGGTCTCCACATGGGATCCGAACCCTCGGCGGGAGCGCCACCGCACTCCCAAGCGGCACACTCTCCAGTGCGCCACCGGGCCGGCCCTATTTTTGATTCTTCTATTTTGCACATTCAGCAATCCAGGATCAAGTTCTATTGCCCCTACCTACAGCACACATCCAGAATCTGACCAGAATCTGTAACCCCAGCACCTTCTCCTACTCACTGACCCCACCACCAGCACCCCAGGTAGAGCAGCCACTGCCACCTTGCTCCAACCCTAATGGCATCATCTACTTTGCACCTCTGCCACCCAATCTCCTTATGGCAGTTAGACATTTTAAAAATGTTAATCAGATCATCTCATTACTTAAAATCCTCCAAGGGTTCCCTTCCCAAGATACTTAGAATAAAAGCCCAACTCTTTACCACGGTCCACAGGCCCATTCTCCCACCTGAATCTCTCTTTCCCAGCCTCATTCGCTGCTCTCCAACACTACTTTCCCATTGTCTTCCTTCTTGTTCTGCCTGCCTGCCTCTCCCCCATATATCTGATTGAGAACCTTGTTCAGACAGACCTTCCCTGACCCTCCTGCCCAAATAGTACCCATTCGCCTGCCCTTTGCTCTATCCAATTAGCTATCTTTCTTCATAATGCTTATCACAATCTATAAGTGTATTATCCATTTATTTACATACTTATATTCATTATGTACATTTACTGTTGTTTCTCACATGATCACACCATTATTTTATATATTATAATTATACATTTTAATATAGAGATAATACATATTGTCATTTACATTATAGTACTGTTTTCCATCACTAAAATGAGAGTTTGAAGAGAGTAGGTACCTTGTCTGTCTTGTTTGTCAAAAAATCCCCATTCACATAGTGCCTGATTTATAGTATGTGCTCAATAAAGATTTATAGAAGCAATAAATGCTATTAATATCTATTATTTAAATGTAGAAGCTCATTAATGTTAGCTGTGGCATATTTTAAGAATATCTTATCTTGTATTTATTTATTCTAGGTTTTATACTTATACATTATTTGATTCCAGGAAACAAAAAATATTTTCAAACAAGAGAAATATAAATGGTAAAATGATTGTAATACAGATTCAGGAGACTGCAGTCCCTTTTTTTTTTTTTTTGTCCTTTTTGAGACCGGCCGCACCGCGCTCAGCCAGTGAGCGCTGCGAGCGCATGGTCATCCCTATATAGGATCCGAACCCGCGGCGGGAGCGCTGCTGCGCTCCCAGCGCCGCACTCTCCCGAGTGCGCCACGGGCTCGGCCCTGCAGTCCCTTTCTTAACCTGTAGAGGAGGCACTTGCCAGATGCCTCAGGGCAGGATTTCAGGCGGCAAGAGTGACCTGGTCCTGGAGGACAGAGTAGCTGGCTCACACACAACGTGAACAAGAGCACAGAATGCTTATCTATTAAATGCCTGAGTTTAAAGCTTTCCTAGAATCATTACCTATATACTGCTAAAATGTAATCACTTTGATATGAATGAGTTAGTCTGTCTTCCTTAACTAGACTGTAAACTTCTTTAGGATCAGGAGTATGAATTCTGTCTCTCTAAATATTGGGGTGGCCACTTATAATAGGTATACAAAAAAAAAAAAAAAACCAACCCCCCCCCCCCCAAAACTATTATGGTTGGTATACTGTATAAATGACATGAAATGTCCATTTTACAGAGTGAGTAACAGCACAAACTTCCATAAGACCATAAAACCATTATCAGTCTTGTCAATTAATAGTCAAATACTCACTAAACATGGTGCTTTAACAAGACGGTCCAAAGGAATACAAACAAAATACTCCTCTCTAAAGACTCAGAATTTCAAATGGATGCTAAGCATAGGATTCCATAGGTAGCACATATGTGAAGGGCCACATACAAGCAGACCATGGGGCTTAGCCACAGATGGACCAAACTGCTGGAGAATGAGTCAGTTCAAAGCAAGCAAGACCAGAACATGTGCTAAGGGTTTTTTCCTAAAAACTGCAAAGTTACTAACGTGGTAACTGCTCAAGATATGATTTTTAAAACCTTCTATAAAATACAGGGAATATTTAGGGAGAGAGAAAAGTTTTTCAATGTTCAATGAAAATATCACTCTGTGGCCAATATGCCTAGATAAGAGATGCATGAGTAGGGTCTGAATTAATAAGAGCTAGTAGACATTTAAAGGACTTCAACAAATAAATCTAGAGAACAACTGTTTTAGGATGAATTAAGAGAAAAGTTGATTTAATAATAGATTTTTTTAAGGCTGGGATAATAATAGAGAATGTACAAGTGAAATGCTCAAAGAATTAAAAATAAGTCTGATAATCTTTCCTAACAAAGAAAAAAATGTGTGCTAATAAGACTTTAGATTAACTTCATGTTTACTGACTCTTTGAATGAAGTTCGAAGTTCATAGAAGGCTGCAAGACCCCCACATGTCCCTGGGGGGCCTTTCCTGGCCTTGCTTCCTTTCGCTTTCCTCCTCTCTCACTCCTTTGCAGCCACAGTGGCCCCCTGATGGTGTCCTGTCCTACAACAGGGCCCTTGCAGCGGCTGCTCCTTCTGCCTGGCACATGCTTCCCGCTGCGAATGCTCACAGTCTGCTCCCTGCCTTGCTTCAGGGCTCTGCTCACATGGCACCTTGTCAGAAGGTCTTTCCGACCATCCCACGTGAAAGAGCATCCTGAGTTCCCCTTGCCCATGTTTGTTTCTCTTGGAACACTTACTCTCCCCTCTTGATATTTACTGTATTTGTTTCTGCTTTTCCCCTTGTGTCTCTGATAGAATTTAAGCTCTGTGAGAGCAGCAACTTCACCTGTTTTCTTCACTGTTAAGTCCCCACCACCTAGAAAAGAATAGCTGTCACACAGTGGACAACTGATAAATAATTGCTGAAATAATTAACAGAATCTCAAATAAAGTAACCAATGGTAAGTCCTTGCCCATGAAATTTATGCTGAGTTACATTTTGACCAATTAATAAAAATACTTGACAAAATATTATTTGATTTTATGGAATACTGAAGAGTATAATCTGGAAAAGAATTTATAATACTAGGAGCCTAAAGAAATTAATAAATTGCTTTGTAATATAAAATTAGACTCCCACATTAAAAATAAAGTAAACAAACACTGACATACAGTATGTATCAGAAAGATATTCAAGAAAATGTGAGCCCTGGTATTTTTCTGGGGCTGGGGTTCATTCAACAATTATTTAGTAAACACTAGACTATGAGTATTTTTTTAAGAAATTCTCTTGTATCTTCACAGCTAAAATGGATAAAATCCACCAACCCTACCAAAAGCTGTGTGACCCTGGTAAGTAAATTATACTCTCGGAACTACAGAATGCTAATCTATCAAGAATTTTAGAAATAAAAGGAAGCTGAGAGATCTGGTTTAATTCCAATAATTCAGAATTAAGAAGCCTCATCTCACTCCAATTTACGTCTTTTCACTAAATCTAGATCCACTGCTCTTTCTATTGCACTTTGCCTCAAAGAACAGAGTTAAGACAAGTAGAAGAGAAAAAGAAATATTTTTTAAAAAACTGAGAAAGGTGTAAACAGCTAAAAATATATAATGAATTATATAATTTGATAAAGTCTTTCAAAACTACTTAAAAAACTGAACTTCTAATTTGCTTAACTACATGGTGGACAATCACTTGTCCCTGATAAAAAACTTTTATAACTTTTTAAATATAAAGGTAATGTTCAGTTTATCACTAGTGCACGTGCAAAGAATATAAAAAATGGATAGATATGGAGTTACTGGGAAATAACACCATTTGCAGTTTCCAAAGAAGGGGTATCAAAAAAGGGCCAGTTACCTATGCCACTGTAACTTTTTATGAGCCATTTGTGTATACCTGTTATTGTTATTTTAGTTTAAAAAAATTTCTTTAGCAGGTACATAGTATTCTAAAATATCACCTTAAAAATCACTGGTCTATTTTTCAAAAGACATAATAACAGGTGTTAGTGAAGATGTGGAGATACCAGCACTCATACATCGCTAAGAATGTAAATGGTACAGCTGCCTTGGAAATCAGTTTGGCAGTTCCTCAAACAGTTAAATATAGTTAACATATGACAACTCCTAGGTATAAACAAAAGAGAATTTAAAACATGTGTCCTCATAAAAACTTGTAAATGAATGCTCATAGCAGCATTTTAATAGCCAAAAGGTAGAAATAACCCAAATGTCCATTGATTAATGAATGGATGAACAAAAGGTGGTATATCTATACAAAGGAATATTATTTGACAATAAAAAGGAATGAAGTATTGCTAAATGCTGCAACAGGGATGAACCCTGATTGACTAAGTGAAATAAGCCAATCAAAAAAGACCACATATTGTATGATCCCATTTATATAAAATGTCCAGAATAGACAAACTGATAGAGATAGAAAGCAGACGAATGGTTGCCAGAGGCTGGGGGAGGGTGGAATGGGAAGTAACTACTAATGGGTATGAGGTTTCTTTCTGAGTTAAAGAAAAGGTTCTAAAATTGACTGTGGTGATGGCTGCACAGCTTTGTGAATATACTAAAAAGCACTGAATCATACACTTAAAAAGAGTGAATTTTATAGTAGGTAAATGATATCTTGCTTAGGCTATTTTTAAAAAAATAATTTTAAAAAGTCACTGATCGCTGTTAGAAGGTAAATTGAGGCAAATTAATGTTCTTTTCTTGAATATGCAGGTATGTGGGACTACTGGCTAGCTGTCGCTGACTCTGGCCATTTGGTATGTCAATTCCTTTCAACAGAAGAGTCACCTATAAAATCTGTTACTGATGACACAAGCAGGAAGATTAAAATGAATAAAATAAAGACCCAACCCTGTAGAAGCTAATTCTGCCATTTTTTTGGTTTCTGAGTATACCAAGTAAGTTGACATGTATAATGAGCTTCATAAAAGACAACTGTGAATACCTAGAAGAACTAAGGACTCACAAAGACAAACAAGGCAATTTAAACTTAAACAGTCAAAACTAGTCAAGATTTTTGGTAGTCTTAAAGGACTTACTGGACTCATATAAACGCCCTGATGTACATCTCCAAATTGGCCTTCTCCAATACATCGTCCAAGTTCTATTCTCTCTCTTTGAATCTCATAATCCCTGGCTGCAAAACATGATGCATATATTAATAAATACTTAAATATAATAATCCAAATGTAGAAATAATGCTCGACACATTTCATTATTATCCATGAGTAAAAATTTCATCTGTGACACATCAATCTATGAAAATGCTTTAAACAGAGTGGAATTCTCTTAAACAATATTTGAAAGGAATGCATGTATCAGTTGTGGTACCAGATGAACTACTAAAATAATGACTTCTATTAAGGGTTGATTTTTTCATATTGTTCCTAGGAGTTTTTGAATGTTAGATTTATTTTATATTTACTTGATAATTTTTAAAATAATTTCTCCAAGTATTAAATTATATGCTTAATTAGTAAGAGCTATTAGTTAAGGTATTAATATAAGAAGACTATAAAAACACAGCTACTTAAAGCAATTATTTTACAAATAACTAAAGTCTGTAAATATGGACGCAACATAAAAATTGTACCATGAGTAAACTTTATGCTTTAAAAGTTTAAGAGTTTTCCACTTCATTATAATCCTATCTTTGTGTTATTCGTGGAGCTAAAAGAGTTCAAAGAGGTACTTTCTAAAAACTAAATGACTTTAAAATTAAATGACTTGGAATCAAGGTTGAACATATCAGTTTAATAAATTATGAGCGCTTTATACTTTTGAGAGCATGTGCCTCAAATTAATATATTAAGTTGTGATTTATACAAAATCAATTATTTAGTAGGCTGTTGAAGCACATAGACAGAAAATACCTACTAGGAACATAGTAGATTGACTTCTAATTCAATTAACTACTTGGTATTTTGGTTTATTTCAACTAAGAAACTCATTACTATATATATATATATTCCATTCGTGTAATCGCCAATGGAATAAACCAATAGCCAAATATTTTAAAACTTTCTCCCTGGTTTATCAAATTAAAAATCATACAGAACATTCAATCCAAATTTTAGATAGTTATTTTCCTCTTTAAAATCACTTTAGCTAGTAGGTCCATTGATTTAATGGTATGAGTAAATCAATAACAAATAGTTTAAAAATAAAAGTTAACTGAAAACTGAAACATCCCATATCACTCCACAGGTTGCAATTGCAAGCAAACACAGGTATCTTAAAGGAATCCTGTTACCTTCATCTATTCCATAGCTTTCTGTATTGCAATTAAGAGAGAAAAAAATTGAAGACCTTGCTTAGAAATAACTAATAGCAATTAGGTTAACAACAGCAAACTTGGAGAGTACATTTCAATAATATTTACTTTTTAAAATATTTTAAGCACAAATATGAGTTAAAAAAGAGAACTAAATACAAGCAAAAACTAAATATACTCAAGGTAACTCAATGTTATTTAAACAATGTTTTTAAATTCCTATCACAAATTTCTATATTATAACTAACTCTTGTGGGGTCTGGATAAAAGTTAACCATGTTGTACATCTACTACTCAACTATGAATAATAAATATACAAATAAAAATTTGGATTCTCTGTAGAAATGTACAAATGACTAAATGGCTAGTCAAAAAATTACACTTAAAACATTTTTAAAAATTGCTACCAGAATTCAAAACATACAACTTAAGTTTCAGCTCCTGCCTCTTTTTTGAATCTCTCTCTGATAAAGGAGCTCTTGAAAGGGGACATGAAGTCTACCTGACTGGGCTGTTTCTCTTTATTTTGGTAATACCTCCTCAATGTGTATAAAAATCCAAATGAAAGCATCTTTTAAAATATTTACACAACAGAGTAAAGCACTTAAAACATTTACTTTATGAATATGTATAGATCTACTGAAATCAGGACATTCAGATTTTGAATTATTAAGGCTTCTGGAGCCTTCTTAAGAGGTAGGTTTAAGTTTTTTTGTGTGCAAAAGAAATTTCAAGGGCTTATCCAATTCACAATCTGGGCTTCCAGATTTTTCTCAATTAACAAGCTGCACATCACAGACAGGAGCAGAATCTTGACATTTCCAGGCTGCATGAAGTCATTTAAGAGGTCTGTCTCTCTTCCCACATCTTTCACCCCTATGGGGTAGACTGAAGGCCAGAAGCTATTTGTATTGGTTAGTCAATGGCAATAAAGAACAAACAGGGCTGGCCGGTTAGCACAGCCGGTTAGCACAGCCAGTTAGAGTAAGGTGTTGTAACACCAGGTCAAGGGTTTGGATTCTCGTATCAGCCAGCTGCCAAAAAACCCCCAAAACCTAAAAATGAAAACAAAACAAAAAGAACAAACGATCTCAGGGGGGATGCAATTCTTTGAATGTGTGTGTGCATACACACATACATATTTAACCTTTAAATAATACTGATTTTCTACATAGAGAAAATACTCTAATCAATAAAGGTATATTACAGAGCCAGAAAAAAAGATTATAAAAATCCAGTAAGTAAACTAAATTATTGCAGATATTTGAGCTTTTGGCTTCTGACCAACCTTATAGTGGACACATGTAGAATTCTAAAGGTTGAAAAAAATATTTCTGTTAAGTACTCAATGGGGTATTAAAAATGGTTCTAAAAGAATAATAAATATCTAAAACTTTTAAATGTGAGGAGATATCTGGCAAATCTGAGCATGAACAAATCAGAAGTCTACTTACTTGAGGGCATGGTGTAAGTATCTTCTTCATCTATAATCTCAGCATAATCATCTGTTTCTGTAGGAAAAACACAACATATGTTGGAAGAGGTTAAATATTTGACCTCCGGCCTTTAATATAATTTGATAAGGCAAAATGATCTGCCTAAATCCCCTACTATGCCAAAATATTCTTAAAACACTATTACTCAGTTTTGGCTCACACATGAGTCATTTATGGAAATAAAAGTGACATCACTGTCCAATATGTTATAATACACAGACTTGTTTATCAGAGAGCAAAGCTAACACAGAAAGCCCTTGTAAAGAATAGAAAGACATGAAACAACTAACTACGTATATGATTCAAATTAACCAATCTGTACTGACTGCAAAACTCTCCCTTAACTACACCAAATACACGTTTAATACAGTGTTGTCTATCAAGATTTCTCCAAACAAGACTGGTATCCTCAAAACACCATACCTGATTTTATTAATAATTAAGACTTGACAGTTTACATAAAGCAAGTTTACATAAAGTGAACTTTCTCTTTTAGAAACAAATGGGCAGCCCAACTTTTGGGGAGAGTAAATGAGATAATTTATTTCATATGTTCAGGGTTGAAAAATGCAATGCAGGAATTTATCTTTCATAACTTTTTCACTCAGGTATTTGAAGAGTATACATTAATGTCAAAAGAGTAAAAGATATACCAAAAAAAATAAAATGAGAACAACAACATATTAAAATGTGTTATTTTTTGAGAAGATGTCAAGGAATTCCAGTATTTTCACTTATTGCTTTCAGTAAAGCAGCGACTTAAAAATATACAATATAAATGGGAAATTAAAAAAAAAAAAAACCCACCTAAAGAAAACAGTCACTATTTTGGATAACAATTATACTGAAAAATCATCTGAGTATTGTCTGTGTTTCTCTTTCTGAAAAAAGGAAAACCTTTAGTGGCTCCATGCATGAGGATTTTAGTGGCTGGGCCATTCTTGTAAGTCAGTAAAGAAGTAGCAATATTTTCTGATAAATCATTTGAAGAGAATTCTATTTTGAAAATTTGACCTGGTATCCACATTTAACCCCAGAGAAACTAAAAGCTACACGTTCTTTCTTCTGTCCTGCCATCGTTACTTCACTCAGACATTAAATGCATAGAAATCTAAGAAAACAGAGAATATATATATATATATATATTTTGTTTACAGTCATTAGGATACAAATCACTCCACATACTGCTATGGTAATGATTGAGATCAAACCTGTAACTGGAAGAATTCACTTCTTAATGTGTAATCATCATTAAAAGTGTTTAAAGTAAAAAAATTTGGCTGGCAGAATGTAATGCCAATAAATTAATTTTCCTTAAGACATTTATCATATGTAAATTATTCCTAAATCCTGTATGACAGGTGGATAATCCATGTTATTCTTACATGCTTATGAATAATACTATTTACAGTATTAAAGAAAAAATTTTAATTTACCCCATGTTCTTTTAATTAAATTTTTTTTTTTTGTCTTTTTGTCTTTTTTCGTGACCGGCAACGGATCGCAACCCTCAGTGTTGCGCCCGCACCGGACCGGGACCGGCAACGGGATCGCAACTCTCGGTGTTGTGCCCGCCCCTCGCTCAGCCAGTGAGCGGCCGGTCTGTACGTGGGATCTGAACCCTCGGCGGGAGCGTCGCCGCACTCCCAAGCGGCGCACTGTAGCAGTGCGCCACCGGGCCGGCCCCTAATTAAAAATTTTAATTTACCTTATGTTCTTTTACTTATATTTTTCTCTCTTATCCTGTTCTCAGTAAATACCAAGAATAGTATATTGGCATGTTTTAGGCCTATATTTTTGTGTAAGATGGCCTATCAAAGGCCTTGTGAAAGAAAATTTGGGGACAGAAGGGAGCTGCTAGGGCACTGGAAACAAAAACGACTAAGTGGGGGAAATCTCTACTAGCTAAGACAGCAGAAGCAACACAAGTCACATAGATGGCCATCTGCTAATCATTTACTCTTTTTATTCCATAAGTTAACAGGCTTAATTTTATGACACTCCCTTCAGAAAACTAGTTCTAATAAGGCTGCATTTCTACAAGAAACAGTCCCAGTCCCCTCACTGCCTTCTTTCTATAAAGAACGTGCCTTTAAAGGTAAAATGCTTTAGATGTTCTTGATGTTGCAGGCTTCTGGGAGTGAATGTTGATCACGCTTCCTGTCTCTGCTTCCATGACCCCTGCTGCCCTGTTACCCAAATTGCTCTAGAATCTTCAAAAACCTGCACTTGGCTCTTAGTTTTATACCACAGCTTCATATGGCTGCAAGGTATCACTGCAAGCCTGTTCAGAAGCCCAAGTCCCTCAGGGAACAGGAGTCTATTGCCTGAACCACGAAGGGCATAAAACTGATAATGACAGCAATGGAAGTGACCTCTGAGGGCTTACCACACACCAAACCTCATGTTGGCTCAGAGCAAATGCTGACTTCAGCCAAAGTGTCACCTATTCGGAGACCTTTCCTCAGACTAATATGCCCCACCACCATTGCTCTTAACCATGTTCCCTGATTTATTTTCCTCTCAGCCTATAACTACCTGATATGATTTTGTTTCCTTATTAACTGTCTGTTTACTTCTCCAGAATGGACCATCCACTGGAACAGAACCCTCATGTATCTTGTTCTTCGCTATGTCCTCAGCATCCAAAATGCCTGACACAGAGAAGGTGCTCAAGAAATACATGCTAAACAACAGGAATGAATACACTGCGACAATATAGTGAGGGGACCATATATTCCCAGGGAACTGAGCAAAGGAGTTAAGTCACCTGTGTGAGGTGGCACAGACAATCAACTGCTGCAACACATAGGACAAGGAAGACAAGTACACATTTGGGGCAACCTACTTGACCTTTGGGAAGTCACTTCACCTGGCTATGCTTTCGTTGTGTTCACATGTGTGAAATGAAAGCATCATCCACCTTGTGTGGTTGTTATGAGGATTATGGGACATCCACAGGAAGCTGAGACGTGGCCCTGTGCATGAGTCAGTCAAGAAATGGCAGTTGCTCTCGTGGTCTTGCTTCTTCTGAGGGCTCTCTGGAAGGGAACTAGGCAGCTGATGGACTAGGATCCCTTTGTACTGGTACTTTCAGTCTGTCTTCCTGGTTTGACTGTAATGCCTTCAAGAACCATTGCATTTTATAACCCCCCCAGGAGAGATATCACCCCAGAGATAAATCCAAAGGAGTAAAAATAAAATGGCTAGCACACAACAATGATTTGGGAAAAACCATGTTGCATAAATTTCAATTAATTCACATAATCACAAGAAAGAGCCTGTAATTTTTCTTTTAAGGCTATGTGAATTCTATATAAAACCTTTGAGGATATAGTCAAAACAACGTGAGAATTACTTATAACGATATTTGGGGTGCAGATATATGTACTATGATGTAACGTGAGTAGAGAATTTTTACTGCAAGGAACTTATGGGTTGATTCTCATGAAGCAGATTCAACATTGTTGAAAGTACGTGGACCTGCAAAAGTTTGAAACCTTTTAGAGAGGAGTTTTTTCTTTTTTTTTCGTGACTGGTAAGGGGATCACAACCCTTGGTGTGGTGTCGCCCACACCGCGCTCAGCCAGTGAGCGCACCGGCCAGTCCTATACAGGATCCAAACCCGCGGCGGGAGCGTTGCTGCGCTCCCAGCCCCACACTCTCCTGAGTGCGCCACGGGGTCGGCCCTAGAGAGGAGTTTTTAAGAGGTAATACTTGGGATGTTTCCCCAGGAATTCTCAATATTGATTTGGTTATATTTTATTTTACTTTCCTGGCTTTTAGGATTGTGGGATAGCATGACACTGACTATTTTTATATATTCAAAGGCACTGAAATTAGAGTCCAGCCTGCAACTGCCTGGGTACCCCCCCCAAATAATGGTATCATAGAAGGAAAATATAAAGAAAAAATGAAACAGTTTCAAAGATCCGGGCACAAATAAAGGAAACTAGATCTTCATTCTCCATTTAATAATGATGACGATGACAAATATTAAGAACTTACCATATACTATACACTGATATAAATACTATCATTTAATCTACCTATATATGTCATTTGATATGGTACTATTATTATCACCCCTGTTTTGCAGGCAGGAAACTATATAAACTCCTCAAGACCCCAAAGACAAGCAGTGGCAGGCTGATATGCATCACAGCACTACAGCACAGGGCCTGGGTTTTGAAGAACCATGCTTCACCCTCCGTTATCTTTCAACAAAGTTTACAGGGACTTTTATTTGTGAAACCAGATACTCTCTGCTTTGAAACTATAGAATGTTTCCCTAGGGATATTTTGGGGTTTTTTTTTTTCCCCAACAGGGGCACAGTTTTGCTCTAGGGATGCTCACAGGAAGGCTCATCTGGACCTGTGTACTTGGGAGTCAATTTCAGGATGCCTGTCCCATGAATTAAACATTTAAAAATACACACACACACACACACACACACACACACACACAAAGGAGACTTCTACAACTTTGGATAACATTATAATTTGAATGGCTTGGTATGACAATATGTAGTAAAATTAAAAAGATGCAAAGACATGTTAAAAAGAAGAGAAACTGACAGCTCAGAAAAAAAAAGAGAAAAGTTACTAAGTTCTTATTTAACACAAGGTAAAAAGAAACACAGTAAAGTCGCTATTGAAAATATCAACATGCTTGCATGACATTAAAGGCTCCTGCTCGGTCACTTAAAGAGCCCGATGCCTCTGGAGTTACTGCAAAGAGGGTCAGTTTACAGTTTGGTGGAGAAGAGATACCATCACTTGGTTTGTAAACAAATGGAAGTGCATAAAACCCTTCAGGCACAAAAACTTCTCAATGTACTAAAAACCTGCTGAATTTCCCATGTATGAGGTAAGATGTGATTCTGTCACCACACTTGTTCTGTTTTCTGTGGGTGGCAACTGTGCACCAGCTTGGATACCAGCAACTCTGACAACCTGTTACCTTGACTGGCTTCCTTGCTCCTTCCCAGGGGGATGGGGCCCAGCCAGAGGGAGTAGGAAGTTTGATAAGTCATCCATCCCTTATATTAACATCCTTACAGTGACTAGGTTGTTTAGGTAAGTCAGTGGGGACTAACCAATTTCAGTTTCTTATTCAACCTGGATAATCCAGATGTGCCATTAACTCTAGAGGCTTGTGAAGCAGTAGAAAGAGTTCTTTTTTAGGAGCCAAGAGGAACCCAACTTTGCTCTTTAATATTAACTAGCTATGTGACCTAGACAGGGATTGGCAAACTTTTTCTGTAAAAGGCCAGTCAGTAAATATTTTAGACTTTGCTGGTCCTAAGTTTCTGTTGCAACTACTCAACTTTACTTCTCAAAATATAGTCTGTTAGCAGCCACAGACACTATGTATCAAATGGTGGGACTATGTTCTAACAAACCTTTATTTATGGACACTGAAATTTGAATTTCTATAATTTTGATATCATAAACATTATTCTTTTAACTTTTTTCCTCCCAAACAATAAAAAAATTTAAAAGTCATTCTTAGTTCAGGGTCCCCTTTTTTTTGGTCTTTTTTCGTGTCTGGCAACGGACCGCAACCCTCAGTGTCACGCCCGTACCGGACCGGGACCGGCAACGGGATCGCAACCCTCGGTGCTGCGCCCGCCCCTCGCTCAGCCAGTGAGCGGGAACCGGTCTGTATGTGGGATCCGAACCCTCGGCGGGAGCGCCACCGCGCTTGCAAGCGGCACACTGTAGCAGTGCGCCACCGGGCCGGCCCACAAAGACCACTTCTACAACCACTTTTACACATGAAGACACAAGAGATGAAGCAATTTGCTTGAGATCACTTAACTAGTCAGTTGGTGAAAGGAAAAAGGGCAAGGCTGCAGCCTAAGACGCTCGTCTCTAGCAGTCTTGGACTCATCACTTAATTAGTTTCCTCACTTGCAGAACAGTGAAGACAATACCCAGTGATGTTTGGAATGACTGCTTTAAGAACTAGGAATCATGTTGGTAAAGTGCCTGCACACAGGAAGCTCTCAATGAATGGTAGCTGCTAATTTATTACTATCATGGTATCAATCTAGAAATGAACCAATTCTCTGGTTTCAAATCTCAAGAAAAGCTGTACTTTTCCAAAGTCATATTTAGATAATATCACTCAGTGCAATCGCTTTTCTCATTATACCCAAGCAATCCTATTCTGTCACAGAAATGAACATAGGTGATATCTTCCGTAAAAGCATTCTTTCATTTCATCACGATGAAAAAAATGCAATCCCCCCCTTAATTTTAGTTTATAAAACCTCGTTCTTTCAGCATAAAGGAGTATAAAGTTTCATGAAGGAAGTACACAAAGTGAGAAACATAAGACATTAAATGTGATTTTAAAATTTCTGACTTATTAAGTGCTATCAACTATTTGAAAAGCAATCATTATCATTATTGCTGCTACTTCCCTATATGTTAGTGTGGCTCTTTTTCAAAAATCACTTTTCATTCTTCCTTTTCTGATTCCTCATTCCTAGACTGATACATACGCACACACACAAACTGTGCTTGGAAAATACAGTGTGTGGATTTCTATTATTTACTGCTTTCAAATATGACTAATTTTGCCAGGTGAAGCAATTTTGACAATTTTCTGGAACTCTAAAGTTTTAACAGTGCAATCTAGAAAATTCACTACAAATACATACAACTCAAACTTACCACTGAGATGTAATAAACTAATAGTTATCCTTTCCATGTTAAAGCCCTACATAATTTTGGAGATCTTTTTTTTTTTCACACCATTTTGTACTCGGTTTTATTGGGTTAAAACCACATTTTGCCTTTCATTAAAAAATGAACTATATTTATTTCTATAAATAACTATCTCATAGCAGTAACACAAATGTGAAAATAAATATTACCGTCCCCACTAATTTCATCTGCAGATCCAGGTGGCATGCAAAGAAAGGGGGAGTAGAAAACAGAGGGAAGGAGAAACAGGAAAAAGAAGAGGGAAGAGGGGGGGAAAACACACTATTAAAATGACAAGTAAATCAAAGTGTAAGAAAAACAAAAAAATTTACCTCCCCACAAGATATCTAATTCAAAAGGTAAAAGAAAGTTTATGGTAGGAAGTATGTTTACTTGCATTTAAGGGCATTATGCCAAGTTTTAAGCTGTCAACATATTCAAAATTATACAGTAGTACTATAGAGTTTAAATTGGTTTCTACCATATTAAGTAAGATTAATTTGACTGCCTCATAATTAAATATTAAAAATGTTTCTATCTCCCTCAAAGGGAATTTGTGTCCTCTTAGACAAAAATAAACACAAATTAGTCATTAATGTGAGGGTTAAATGATAACCAGGAGCATAAGGCCTCAGCATGACTACTCCATGAGCCAGTGGGATTGAAATATTATGGTTGATGTGGGCCAGGCCCACTACTAGCAACTGTAGGCAGTTCAGTACTTGCAGCTCTGCTGACAAGTCAGGTTCCCATTTAAATTTGTATGGAACAACAAATTTTGTTCTGAACAGTTCAGACAAATTACTGTTCCAATTATTACAAATAATCTTTGCTTTCCTAGAAAACTCTCCAAATGGCATGACTGCCTCTACTATGCAGCACTCCTAAATATCTGCTCCCAAACATGAAAAGCAGATAACTGGAGTTCACTCTGACCATGCTCCCTCATTCAGGTGCATGCTGTATTAGGAAATCCACAATGCAAACCACACGGTCTTGTTGACCCCAGTGGGAAAACACAACACAAATGAAACTGGGAAGCTATTTCTTGCCCTGTCATGCATTCAAAAACTAGCAAAAAGCCTTCTATTCAAAACAGCCGCTCAAAGATTGTCAGACACAAAACCTTGCCCCCGTTATCGCTTCTGGACAGCAGCCAACGCATACACTAACAATCAATAAAGCTCTGATCTGTTCAGGACAATGTTTAAGCATCTGGTTAGAGCTGGTTTCTTGGGGGTACTCTGGTTAATGGGAGAGAGAGCCTGTGCAAATATGAGTGCAGTACCCGTAGGAGGAGGTTCATGAGAACAGAAGACCAAAGGGAGAAAGCGCCTAGCTTTCTTAACTTTATGCTGGCAGTGACTGACTCCTTTACAAAGAGGCAAGAGGAGGAAAGAGAAAAATAGAAACAAATTATTTCAATACAAAGGATAACTTCTGTTACATATCTATAAAAACAAATAGAAAACTGCAATGCTTTTATTTGACTATTGCACACCTTAATTCTTACTATGACTGACCTGTGTTTTAAAAAGCATTAATATTTTAAAATGTTATTTCTTGTTTTAGTAAAGGTTAGCACTAAAGAAACAAGACATAATGAGTCTCTCAGCTGTGCAGAGCCAGCCAATTGAAGGTACAGATATTTTTACAAACAAAACTGAAACAAAGTGAAACAAAACAAAAAACGAACACCAATAATTGATTCAAGATTCTTGTGAACATTTAACCTTCAACTGTAAAGAAAAAACTGCAGAAAACTTAGCAGACCTTGATTTGTGAAAGAGTTTTATGAGCAATTTCCCCCAAATCATTAGCAAAGACACAGACTCACAGATCTGGAATGTATACCTTGAATAAATTACCTTAACATAAAAAACTGGTGATGAGAATGTTTGAATAGACAGCATCGTTTAGTCATTGGCTGGCACATTCTGTACTCAAAACTCTTTTGAGAGTCAGTTCTCTTATCTGTTAAGCACTAGCTGGATCAACAAGACACACCTTGGCCCTCCAGGAGCACAGCGCACAGTGAGGAAGAGAAGCAAGGGACAGAGAAGCATCAGTTACAGTGCGGCCACAGCAACACTGGAAAGTCCAAGCAAAGGATGCAGCCCTTCAAGATGCGTAAGTTGGAAGATGAAACAGATACAGGCAGCATGCAAAAGTTAACTCAGACCCACAGAGTACCATCAAGAGAGGTCAGGAATCCAAGTGTGGGCACAGGGAAAACAAGGGTCAGTACTGACTGGCTACAATCTTATTGACTTTATCAACATATGAGGAACAGAAACTAGAAGAACTGAATACACTTGAGTAAATATTTTTCCAATGGTATACTCTGATTCCAACAACACTGACTATTTCTTCTTATCGCTTGATTTGAAAAGCAACATTTATCATACACTAAATTCTGAACTTCCTATGTGATGGCCCTAGAGTACAGCCATCTGGTCTCTGGGTGAAGAGGGGCCTGACCTGACAACTGCATGCATGGTGTGACGCTGGGTGAGATTCTGGATGGGGGTGGGGGAGTCCATGGGATTTCCTGGGTACCTGGCATGGAACAACCACTCCATAAGTGCTAGCTATTCTTATTTTCCTACTAGTTTTTTTCTAAACTGAGCTGAATATTCTTCATAGTGACATAAAAAGCAAATAATTCTTTAAAACCATAAGGATAACTTTTCCTAAGTAATACCGAGAATATTATTTCACATCATAAAAACAAAAATAAAAGGTTTTAGTCATTGGCTGGCACATTCTGGGAGGGGATCATGAGGCAATAGCTATATGGACGGAGGAAAAGAGCATTCCATCAGTATTACATTTTCTGATTTTGATAATTATACTGATTGTATAAAATGATGTCCTTGGTCTTAAGAAATACACACTAAAATATTGATAAGGAAACCATGTTCATAACTTGCTTTCAAATGGTTCAAGAAATAGCAAAAAACATACAGAATGAATGAAGGATAAAGTGAGCCAAATTATAAACCTAGTGAGTTTGAGTAAGGAAATGTCAGACTTCATTTTACTATTCTGACAACAATTTTCTAAGCATGAAATTATGGAAAAATAAAAAATATCTGGAACATGGACTCTGGAGCCAGACAGTGTGGATTCAAATACTGGCTCCACTACCCACTCCCTTCCCTTAGAAGCATTACCCAACTTCTGTTTCTCAGTTTTCTTATTTGTAAATGGGGTAACAACCTACCTCAAGTAAAGAGCTGAGGAGAGGAGTCCATGGGATTTCCTGGGCACCTGGCATGGAACAACCACTCCATAAGTGCTAGCTATTCTTATTTTCCTACTAGTTTTTTCTAAACTGAGCTGAATATTCTTCATAGTGACATAAAAAGCAAATAATTCTTTAAAACCATAAGGATAACTTTTCCTAAGTAATACCGAGAATATTATTTCACATCATAAAAATAAAAGGTATTAGGAACTTTGTTTTATTTTAAGATAATCATTTTAATATATTTATTGAACACCCAACGAGCACACACCATGTGGATGCTGTGGGGTTACAGCAGTGAACAAAATAGGCCCCCAAAATCTTAATTTATGGAGATTACGTTCTAGTATGAGAGAAAGAAGATAAACAAATAAGTGAATTATGTGGTATGTCAACATATAAGTGCTACAGGGAAAAACAGAGAAGAGGAATAGGGCACACTTTCACGTAGGGCTGCAACTTTAAACACAGTGATTACAGAAGGAGTCATCTGCAAGACTTCCAGGAGGAGAGAAGTGGGCCAGGCACATATCTGGGGAGCCCAGCTTGGGCAGAGCAGACAGCAGACGCGCAGTCCACGGCTCTGCAAAGTTCAGCATGGGCACTCACCAAGGAGCCGAGGAGGCCATGCAGGGAGGATGAACCTGTGTGTGTGGGTGGGATAGGGGATGTGGCAGATCTCTCAGTGAGGTAATAGAAGGCCAAAGAGCCTAGGACCTGTAGCTCAGGAATGGGCTCTGGCTTTCATTCTGATGACATCAAAGGTGAATGAAGTGGGAAGGAGAGTGACATGATCTGTCCTACTTTAAAGACTTCCTGCGAGCCCTCAAAGGGGAGCAGGTAAAACTGTGAAAATCTAGATTGGAGACTGAGGAGAACTTGAACAAGGGCAGTTGCATGGAAAGTTGGACTGGGAATATAACCGGAAGAATGCGTCAATTCAAATTTGCCAGTGGATTGAATATGGGAGAAGAAAGCAGAGAGAAGCATCAAGAATAACCCTAAGGATGGTCTGATCAGCCAGAGGGAAAGAAGTGCCACTTAAGTGAGTGGAGAAGGGGAGAGGAGTGGGTTTGGCGTGGACACAGGAGTTCTTTTCCAACACATCAACTTTGAGATGCTTATTAGAAATCTGAGTGGAATGGTGAGGACGACGTGGCTGCAGGGTCTAGAGGTCAGGGGAAAAGTCTGAGATTGAGATGACAGCCTGGAAGCGGCCTGCATAATTAAGCCTTGAAACACAATGAGATCCCCAAAGGGGTGACAGTGGGTGGCAGGAAGTGGTGGAGTGCTGAGTCCTAGGGTCCTCAAGCAATTTCAAGAAGTAGCAATGCTGAACAGCAGCTACTCTTGTGAAGAGTCCTGTTGTAAGGGGACTATTGGGGCAAGTGAGGTTAGAAGTGGTTTTTAAGGTGTGAAAACCACAGTATGTGATGTGCTGATGGGAAAGACCTAGTAGAGAGGGAAAAACCCCTGATTACTAGAGAGCAGGGAAAATTCCAGAAGAGGCAACAGCAAGTGATCGGGGCTGGATTGGTGGGAAGTTAGAATTAGCTGGGTGGGGGCAATTCATCTACTGTGAGACAAGGGTGGGCAGAGCTCATGGATACAGATGCTGGCAAGTGGGTTAAGGTGGCTGCAGGTACTTGTGGAAGTTCTCTTCTGACTATAAATTTTCTCAGTGAAATAGGAAGCAAGTCGTCAGTGAAAGTGGTGGAAAGGGTGCTGGAGGTTTAAGAAGGGAAGGTCAGAAGTGGTTATGGGACAGTGGGAGAGCAAAGGGACAGAAAGAGGTGCATGGTCAGGAGTTGAAAGTGAGACCAAAGCGACAGGGTTGTGCTTTCTGCCACTAAGCTTCAGCTATGCTACAGCAGATGAGGACAGACAGAGCAGGACTTAGCCAGGCAGTGTTTCTGCCAAGCAAGTAAAAAAAAAAAAACAAGAGCTGGGCAGTGGAGATAGTGTATACCAGGGAGGGATGTAATCACAGATCAGGGGCTTTAGGCTTATTAAGACACAGTGAAGACAAGAGAGGTATGATGTCAGGACGGTGGACTGGTACAGGACCAACGGACTGGGGATCCTGATGGGGTCAAAGAGTTGTTGGAGTTGGAAAAAGCTAGAAAAATAGGAGGTGGTAGTCAGAGAGAGTTTTCCTAAAATTTAAATTATAGCAGGGTTACAGTCACAGACAGTGTGTAGGCACCACAGGAAAGAGTGGTGAAGTCAGGGGTTGGAAGAAGCGTCTACAGTGAACACTGACATCCTCCAGAACTAGGATGGGGGGAATGCTGCAGAGCTGACAGTGAGCTGGGTGTGCAGAACTCTGAGGAACACAGGAGAAACTCATTCTGATACCTGAGATTCAAAGCTGGAGTTTTTGAATAGTCTGGAAAGAACAATGAGAACAAGAGATACCTCACCCCTTGCCTTCCCACTGCAGTGGCTCTCGGGGGGAAAAAAAAGCCATCACCAATAGAGTCACAGAGGCACTAAGGGGCACCAAGGCCCTCAGGGGAGGAGCCAGTTTGGGTTAGAAGGTTCAGAGAAGAGGCTGTGGATACAGACGAGTCCCTGAAGTCACAGGTAAAAGGTTTTAGAAGCTGGGGAAGAGCAGGAGATGAAGACAGGACAGAGGATATGCAGAAGGGCACGGGAGATTGGGGCTTCTGGAGGAACAGGTATAAATAGGAATAAAGGGCACAATGAGGTTAGTCCAAGTAGATCACTATTTTCCTTTCCACTTTTAGATACACAAGTAAAGCAATATTTCCCTTTGACCACACATTTCAATTCTATTCATTCCTCAGGCCTTAGGGTTTGGTGTTGACAGTGGTGAATGTTACCTGAGCTCTGTGCTCTGGGAAAACAGTCTTCCCAGTAAATCATGTAACTGGGCTGGTCATGGGCAACCCCCCTGCCCCGATAATGTTAAACATCCACAAATTCATAATGATGTTTACAAAAGAAAATCTCAGAGAACAACAATAACATCTGGCTAGTGAGGTAATATCATTATTTTAAAAACTGGTAAATAAAGGAAAAGAAAAAGGCCATTTTCCTGTTTTTCCAGTAGGAACCATTTCCTAGGATAACTGAACAGCTGATGAGGGAAAGCTGTC